TTGTATTTAAGACAGTTTAATTGGCTCAATTGCTGGTTAGATCTAGTATTTGGAGCAGACTGTAGCTTGTCTGACCTCTTTCTATCAGATTGAAATATTATTATATACTCTCCTATATTAACTTTTATCTGGAAAAAGCACAATCTGTTCTTTTTAAGCTTCTTAATAATTTCTATTCCTGATGCATTCAAGTTGATCTAACAGCTTGTTATCGTTATACAGTAAGTGGTAATGCAAATGTTTTGCATTGAAACAAATTGTAGATCAGAAGCAGGCATAAGTCACTTGGAAGATGTGAACTGAATTACTTTTTATGTTTGCATTGACATATGTGGACAGATTTTGAAAAAGGGCCAGATTTTCAGGTATTCCACACCCAAAATTCAGGCTAGTTCTTTTTTCTTTTTTTTTTTTTCCTTTTCCAGAAAGCTCAACTCCTGGTTGTCTTAAAAATCTATGCCACATTTTTTAAAGTCTTAGTCAGTCAGCAAATCTTATTACAACATTTGTGCCTACATTTTCAACAGAAATGAGGATTCAGTGAACATCTGGTTTATGTCCTAGAACAGAGTCAATTATAATATAGATCTACACTTCAAGAATTTTACTGGAGGTAGAAATTCATTAGGGAAGAAAGAATTAGAATATAAACGACTTTCAGATTCATCTCTATGTGGTGTTCTGTAGATCTTCCAATTGAAATTGATTACAATGAAATAACTACAAATGAATTCCTTCTTTTAGGACTAAGAAGAAAACTTAAAAACTATTTAAAAACCCAGTGAGCGCCCTACCACAGCTGTCATTAAATTGATCCACTGGTTAATTTATCCACTGGTTAATCCTTTTATTCTTCTCCCTAGTCTCCCTTCTGCCTGAGCAACAAACCATCTCCCTGGGGAAGGTGGTGGGTAGGAGCCAAGCACCCTGGGATGCTGGAGGAATGTGCTTCGGCTTCTCAGAAGGAAGCTTATATAGCTTTTTGTTCTCCTGGGAGAAACTCTCTCAGGAGTGATTTAACCCTGGTTGTTTCTGGTTATTTTTCTTTCAGCAAAATTTTTGCTCTGGGAGAAAAATCCTGAATATCTATACATTCATGGTTTCTACTGGGACAGAAGCAATTCTCCCATGAGAAAGTGAATGTCTCTATGTAGCCTGGGTCTCTTGGATAACACCTAGTACAGGTGGGCAGCCCTTTGGTGTTACCAAATTGCATTTCCAAGCTAAGAAGTACATTCCTTATTGAAGTCCATGATTCCATAGTTTTACCATGCATCTCTCTCTCTTTTTACAAACCTCCCAGTTCTTCATCCATGAGGAAAACATGGAAAAGAAACTCTTGATAAAAGTTGTATCCCTTCTGTCCGTCCACCTCCCTTTCTTGAATCTGTATGAGTGTTTGCGTGTGCACAGACACACACACACAGAAACACAAGTTTTCAATGAAAGGGAAATATTACTGTAAGAAAATTCTTATTAATATGCCTTTGCTTCATGAGAAAATCCACCAGAAATTAAAGCCCTTTTTTTTCCACCAAAGACTCTTCATCACCACTACAGTGTAGCTGAAATTAAATATACATACCTCATCAAAACTACTCTACAATTAGGGAATTCAGTATGAATAATTAATTAAGTAGCATTTAATCAGCAATGATCATGACAAGAGCTCCACTGGTAAATTTGTTTGAGTACCTTACTGCAGAGCAGCATTTTGTTTTCAGCAAATCTCTCTCAGGCTTATGCCATGCACTTAGTTTTCCCAGCTGAAAAACTCTGCCACTTTCAGACAGAGAATATCATAATCTCTTTCTTTTTGTTACTGAAAAAACATAACATTTTGGCAAGTGGCCTCATTATTTTGAAGCACTTCCTCTAATTTTTCATGAGGTACTATTTGCTATTTGGCTTAACAAAATCAGTGCATTTTTACAATATAAGCATTTGTTTGACTGTAAAAGAGTTAATGCTCTTATAACAAACTTCAGTGGAATAAATTATACTTTGAATAACTAATCTAGTGTTTTTCATGCTGAAGAGATTCCATTCAGTATGTAAATTTGGACTGTTTGGGAATTTTCTAATTAATTTCTTTTTCACAGAAAAAGCAGTTTTGTGCACGATCAGAATTTCCAATAGGGAAAAGAAAAATTATTTTGCTAAATTTCCTTTTATTTACATCTTGAAAATCCAGGGACACTATTTCATTTTAGGTCAGATTAAATCAAATCAAAAGAGTTTTTTGCTTTTCAACCAAATTCAGTCATTTCATTTTAGGTCCCCTCAATGTGAATTGGTGTGGGGCCAAGCCGCCGAAGGACCTCATGGGCATTATGGTTCATGTGCCTAACGGTCCATTTATGGTCTGGTCTGAATTCCTTTGCCGTGAAGCCTCGTGGTTTTGACTTTTGATGGAACTGAGGCCATAGCTCACAGTAGAAAATGGGGCACCCAAGCTGCAACTCTGATTCTCCTGGGAGAGGAAACACCTCAAGGTGATACAGTTTAATATCCAGAATTACATATTTTGACCTTTTCCAACTCTTTTTTTTCCAGAATTTTTGTGAGAATTTTGATATTTTGACTTCAAATAGAATTGAGCTTTTACATTTCAACAAGCTCTAGTCATACGTGGGAGGAAAAATCGTTTTGTGTTTGGGTACTGGAATACAACTCAGGAATTTTGTGTAGATTTTGAATCTAGCTTTGTATCTCTTTGAAATCACTCCGGACCTCATTTCTTTTTCATAGATCGCAGAAAAATAGGGCTGAAAGAAACTTCAGGAGTCATCAAGTCCAGTCTCTTGAGCAAGACAGGCATATTCTTGTCTAGATAATCCCAGACAAATGTTGCCTGATTTGCCTTTAAATGGAGACAACAACAATTCTTTTTTCTTAAGGTTGGCTCTCCAAATTTTTTATATTGTAAGTTAGAGACAGTTTCCTGTTATGAGTATGTACAGTGCCTCATACAAGAGGGCTCCTAGCCTCTGTCATAATGATAAAATTCCTATAGCACATGTAACCTGATATACAAAGGGTTCTATGCCTTGCCCAAGAATACAAAGGTAGATAGTGAAGGAGACAGGATGAGACTAAGGAGTACAAACTCCCAGATCCAACTCTAACCTCTTAATTATCATTTTTTTTCCCTCTGGTCGATACTTCAATGTATTTCTGTCTGAGTTTTCAGTAGGCTTGGCAGCAACAGACTCCTTTAAGGGGAGATTTGAAAGAGGATAACAAGGTGGATGTTTTTGTAGATGTTCTAGGGAGTTCATCCCTTGTGTTTGATTCATCCCATGGCAGGGCAAAAAACATGACAATCCTCTCTCGTGGTTTGGATTAGGATTCTCCTTTAAATTCAAAGAAACAAGCAAGCACGGATTCATGACTGCTGTGATCCTAGTCTTTAGTTCTGCCATGTGCAGAGTCCCCCAGAGAAGAGTCTTTTTATCACAGGACCATTCTCACTGTTTTACAGGCTGTGTGAGATTAAATTAAACATCATTATGGTTCAGATTCTATTATGCAAATGGTCACATCCTGACTAATACTCATTTTATTTAAATTCTGAATATTGCCTTGTAAAACAAAAACATTCTGAATGCTGAGTTTTTACCTTTTACAAAATACCAGGAAACTTCAAAGAATTGAGCTAATAGAGGCAGTGTAACCAAATCAGAAGGAAGTGTATAGCTCCATGGTTTATAAACTTTTTGACATAAGTTTTATCTGGTCTCTCTCAAAAAAAGTAAAAAAAAAAAAAAAATTATTTAGCGGTGCTTTGTTAATATCAATAATCTGACCTTTAACTAGGGATGATAAACTATTAACAAATGTGATCGCGATTAGTTACACAATTAAAAAATAAGTCACAATTCATCACAATTTTAATTGCACAGCTAAAAACTCAAAACGGCACAGAAAAACTCAGTTTTGCAAAATTATAGTTACTTTGTATGGTTGGGGGGTGGCTGTGGGGGGATTTGTGAAGGTGTGTGGGAGGCTGTGGGT